ATTAACTACACCTAGCCAGGTGGAGTGACCAGTAGGAATGTAGGTGGGATTTTCAAACTGGGACAAAGGAGTTTGGGTTTTCTTTTCTCCCTTTTGTCTCTGGGGAGAGTTCTCTGCAGCTACAGAGAGGGATAAGCATGTCTCTCTCTCTCCAAGACACCATTCTTCATTTTCTGTAAGTAGGGTAAAGTTTGGGTAGTTTCGTTAGGTTTTATTGTTTTAAGGATTGGGTATGGGATCTGAGATCTGGCACTGCTTAAAAGATGTTTTGGCTTTTCTTTGTAACTGAGTTCTAGGCCCATGGAGTTTCTCCATGAGCATATTTTGTTACCTCCCTATCTAGTCATTATGTTTGCAACAGGAATATTGTTGTAATAATAAAAGTTCTTTCTCTTCTTTTTATTAACCTGGCAGTGGTTAATTGTGTGCCTTGATTTTTATCTTAGGGGTGAGATTTCCCAAATGATCTTCCCCCTGATTTCTTTATCAACATTTGGGTGGTGGCAGCGGAAGTTATTCCCAAGATCTAGGTTTTTAAGATTTTGGGGGAAGTTTTATACCAAAGCCTGGTAGATAAGGCTTTGGGGTACACTTGCTGGCCCCCACTTCTGCATTTATCATGCCAGAGTGGGGAAGGAGTCATGACAGAGGGATTTGGGCTTATTTAGTCTGCAGAAGAGAAGAGTGAGGGGGGATTTGATAGCAGCCTTCAACTTCCTGAAGGGAGGTTCCAAAGAGGATGGAGAGAGGCTGTTCTCAGTACTGACAGATGGCACAACAAGGAGCAATGGTCTCAAGTTACAGTGGGGGAGGTCTAGGTTGGATATTAGGAAAAACTATTTCACTATTGGTGAAGTACTGGAATGGGTTACCTAGGGAGGTGGTGGAATCTCCATCCCTAAAGGTTTTTAAGTCTCAGCTTGACAAAGCCCTGGCCGGGATGAGTTAGTTGGGATTGGTCCTGCTTTGGGCAGGGAGCTGGACTCGACCTCCTGAGGTCTCTTCCAGCCCTATGATTCTATGAAGTTGTGGGCTCAGTGCCTGTAGATGAGAGGCAGCATGTGGAGCCATTGTTGTACATGTCAGCTGTTTTCAGGAGTGGAGCAGGGCCAGGGCAAGAGTAAGCCTGTCTTAACCCCATTGCTTCACCATGTAGAAACTATCTCAGTTAAATGGTACCTAGCCAGAGCCTGCTTCCTGAACCCCCCCATCCCAGCCCTGAATCGCCTCCTACACCCAACCTCCTGCCCCAGACATGAATCCCCCTGCACCTAAACTCCTTCCCAGAGCTTGCCCCCGAAACTCCTCCTGGACCCCAATTCCCCACCCTGGCTTAGTCCAGAGCTCCTCCCACACACCGCAGCCTGCATTCCTACCCCTACCCCCAGTCTGGTGAAAGTGAGTGAGCAGGGTGAGGCCTTGGAGCAAGTGTATTTGGGTTTGAGGTAGATCTTATATTGCAGTTATATTGAAAAAGTGATCCTGTGGTTAAAAAGGTTAGAGACCACTGGTTTAGATTATTATCCCTTATCAGACATAGAGGTAAAATTCTAGAAACCTTTCAGAATCCATGGCATGCATTCCTAACAGAAACCAAGTAGCATCCCAGTTCCTAGCTGGAGAGCACTAGGTTTTCCCTGTTCTTTAGATGGGGCATATACATGTGTCATTCTATAATACAATTTCACTGTCTTTTAACCTGAAACTGTTGACTCTCCTTATGCAGTGGAAGTCATTCAATAGACCACGGCTACCCAACCTATGGGGCATTTTGGGTTTATGTGGGGCTCAAAATGCAGCCAGGATCCTTCAAACATGGCCTCCACTGGGAACATGTTCCACAACAGCGAGTCACTATAATGAGCTTCTGTTTAATGCATTTTAGTAGTTAAATTCCTGGACTGTCATTGCTCATTAAAAGTGCTGTCATATGGGTGGAAATCGGGTAAATATTGCATTTATTAATATCAAAAGTAAATTAAATGGGGTCTGTGTGTTGTGGTCTTGCCTTAACCTTTGTATTCATGCCCATCAGTGTGAAAAAATATTTGCATATATATTCAACTACACTTAAGTTTCAGTCCTCAGCACGTGCTTCAAGTATCACTTCCAAAGTTGAGCCCTGCAGTATACACTACACTTCGGACACATAGTAGAGACGTTAAAGGAAAAAATGAGCTACCTTGTTCAAGAATTAGGTCAGGCTACTCTGTGTAGTCCTAAGAACCTGCTATAGTATTTAGGAGTTGCCATGAGGTTACAGTGACAAGATTATCCTCACAAAGTAGAATCAGGTCTTTGACCTATAGGCTCCACTGACCCGGTGAATCCCAAGAAATTGATCCTGTGGTAAATGCTACTTGTGTTCTAGTAGAGAAAATGTAGTATGGTAATTCCTCATTTAACACAGTAGATATGGAAAAGGTGGAGGTTGTCTTTCAAGCAGTGGTGTTGTAGTCAATTTTTTGTTGGTGCCGAGTCATCAATGTCCACATTAGATGATGTGCTATATAATACAGCCTCTCTCCGACTTACGAACCAGTTACGGACCAAGCAATTGGTCATAACTCGGTTCGTTCGTAAGTCGGACCCCATTGAGTTACACGCAACCGTGCTGTTTGTAAGCGTGGATTGCGTTCGTAACTCAGGGTCCCCCATTTATGACAGCTTTGGTTGTAACTGCAAATAGTTGTAGGTCGACCGTTCGCAACTTGGGGACCAGCTGTACAGTAAAACTCCCAATAGGGCATCAGCTAGAGCCTGGAAGTGCTCCAGTCAGCTGCTCTCCCGGCAGGGCTGCTGAGAGCTGCATGTGAACTTGTTAGCAGCTAGGACTGGGACACAAGGTTGGGGGAGAAAGGACACTGGGTTACAGCAGGGAGGGGAGATGTCTAGCTCTGAGGAAGGGCAGGGGAAATGGGTTAGAAGTACAGTATGCCTGTGACAGGTCTGCTGGGACCCACACTGTGTCCAGTGAGGGGGGGAAGGGTCACCAGGGAACAGCACAGCCAGCTGTGAACCCTCCACTGCTTTGCAGGGAGGCAGGGGCAGTCCCACGCAGCCACTGGCAACAGGTTGGTTATTTAAGGGATGGTTGTATTCAAAAAATGTTCCCAAAAATTGTGCTATTGTGAAAACATTAAGCAGAAATGTGTTAAACAAGTACTGTATTATGCAGCAGCACTAGAACTGCTGTAAAACTTGCTCTCAATGCATCTTTAACATCCAAAGCTACCCTGTGAATCTCTGCAGATGTATGTCAGCCCACCAAGACTAAAATGGAAATGAGCTATGCAAGTTGAGCTATATCAATTGTGGAGCTTATTTTGGATTACAGCACTGCCTACACAGCAGGAAGTCAGAGATCACTTCAACTCCTGTAACACTCATATGAGTAGTAAGGAAGTCCTCTAGCTCAACATTGTCAAAGTATCTGCATGTAGTCACGGACTGTGCTATTTTGAAATAACTTTTCCAAAATAACACTGCTGTGTAGACATAGCCACAGTCTCCAAACCTGCTGTAATGCTATAGGCAAAACCCTATAAAGTTACTCTATTCAGTACTTGATCCTTTTCACCTGTATGAGCAAGTGCAGATGACACTTCAGAGCTAGTGACCACACAACCTTTGCATAAATTACAGCTGCTATTGCTAGAAGCTTACCCCTAAAACCTATGAGTATGTAAGATTGACAAGAGGTCAGCTACCAGTCAGTCTTCTAATTTGACACAGCTTTGATAGCCAGCAGTGCTAGCAGTTAAAGGTAACCAAGACTTACTTGTCCAAAAGCCTTCATAGCAAATTAGTTTCTAGAAGGGGATTCTAAACAGAAAACAAATCTGAGTAGCTTTAAAGAGGGATGTTTTAGTAGTTCTGTGCTTCTAACAGCAACTTTTAGTACTGTAGTTGTATCCTTTACCTGAGGATTGAAGCTAGTAGCAGCAGTGGAGAACTGAAACAAGTCCAGGCTTCTGTTTCTATAGCTGGAGCCTGCATGCTAGCTTTTAATCTTCTGTGAAAGTGTAAGTTCAGCCTAGCACCCAAAGCACAAATGTAGCTCAAGATTGTTAAGATTCCCCACTAGCTAGAAAGGGCTGTATTCTCTTAAGACACGGTTGAAGATGTAAAGTAGTACAGCCATTATTTAACTTTAAAAAAACCCACACACACTTCATGTAGTATGTTAAGGTACCTCTACAACTATGTTTGTAAAGTCTATAGTTGTAGCCAGGTATCATGGCTCTAGCTTAGCACTATTCCAGGTAGCATCTAGTTAAACAATCAAGGCCCCATTAACATCACAGTATTATAGCCTTACTACTGATGCACCACTGTAGATAGTTTTAAACTGCAATATTGAAAGGCACTAGATAAACATGTTTAACTTCAACAAAAACATGCAGTATACAAAAAGTGAGAACAAGAGTCAGAAATCTTTATTCATCTGTCGTAGTCTAGAGCAAACTGTTTTTGCTGTATTTGATAAGCTTTGGCGCTATTTATACAAGCTAGTAAGCAGGAGCTCCCTTCAATACAGATTAATATGCTGCCATCCCCTTTAAAGCTCATGTCTCTTAAACAGCTAAGCTTAGGATCTATGTTGCTTATTACAGATAAGGAGTCAGTAAGTACCATCAGAATTGAAGCAATGACATTCTGCCAACAGAACTTGCTTGAATCAAAGTAAAGTACTTTACAATGTCATAGTAGGGTAACATTTCCTTGGTCAAGAACTGGGTGTCCGATAGGTCTTAAGTTGCTTTTTGGGCAAACAGCTGAGAAAGCAAAGCAAAGCTAATGCACAGAGAATATTATTGATACAACATTTATTGAATTCATCCACTAGTGTGGAAGTAGTCTGTACAAAACCAAACATTTCCTTTAACTTCTACTTCACATTAAAATCAAACAGATCTAAAACAGTCATCTTTAATCAAAAACCCTTACAGATACAATAGCTTCTTTGAAGCCATGGTAACACTTAAATATGGTTAAGACTTCAATGCAGAAATTTGGTATGTTAGAATGCTCAGTGAGCTTTATCTTCTCAAAATTACAAAAAGGCAAAGTTGTGTTTCACAGATACAGTCCACTGGAATCACCAACACTGGACAACTGTTTAATTAAAGTCCTGAGATAACAAGGAATACTGGTATCCTTTAGACAGTTTTCTGTTGTCCTTTCTTTCCAATGAGAGATTTGTGGATATGTGGTATTACACCTAAGGGAAAAAACACCAAGAATTAAGGCAATTTTGAAATGCATTTTCCCTATGTCATCCAAAATCCAGATAGTACTGCAATTGTGTATTAATTTTGTAAAATGCAATTAAGTCTATTTGACTTGAAGTTTAGTTTGAATAGCTATGAGTTGGAATTACATACCACCACCAGCAATTGTTGCCTTAATGAGAGAGTCCAATTCTTCATCTCCTCTGATTGCAAGCTGCAAGTGACGGGGAGTGATGCGCTTCACTTTTAAGTCTTTGGATGCATTTCCTGCCAGCTCAAGAACCTGCAGACAGAGTACATTCAGACCCTACCCACCATATAGAGATTGCAGTAGTTAATGACATCTTCAAAATAGCCGGAAAGATACCATAGGCTAGGGCTACATAGAGATCATCAGGGTCTTGTGTAACAGTTTTGCAGACTGCACTGTTAAGTTTGGACACAGTATTAACAGATTGCATTGCAGGATAATTCCTCAGTCTCCTCCCCATAGTTTGAAGGGGAAGATATTTTGCAAGAGTAAGGCAAAAGAGTTGTGACATTTTGGAAAAAAGTCACACATGCCTCCATGCAATATGATTGGGGTAGCTTATAAACCATTTCAGATCTGATCAAACAGTTTTAAAAGATCATTTAAAATGCAACAGCATCATAGCTATAGTGCTCTCACTACAGCATTTCAAGTGTAGGCATTACCTATGCCAACAGGAGGGGTTTTTACATCAGCATAGATAATAAGCCTCCCTGAGAAGCAAAACTAAACCAACAGAAGATCTGCCATTGATCTAGCATTATCTACACTGGTGATTAGGCTGCTTTAACTACAATGTTCAGAGGTGCAGATTCTTCACACCCTTAAGCAATGTAAAATGCAGGACAATGTAGCACTTTAAAGACTAACAAGATGGTTTATTAGATGATGAGCTTTCGTGGGCCAGACCCACTTCCTCAGATCAAATAGTGGAAGAAAATAGTCACAACCATATATACCAAAGGATACAATTAAAAGAAATGAACACACATGAATAGACAAATCACATTTCAGAACACGAGGGAGATGCAGGGGGGGGAAGGAAGGAAGATAAGTGTCTGAATTGATGATTAGAGGTGGGGAGCATGGGATGTTTGAGTTAATGGTATTAGAGGTGATAATTGGGGAAGCTATCTTGATAATGGGTAAGATAGTTCAAGTGTTTGTTCATTCCTCTTTGGAGAGTGTCGAATTTTAACATGAATGACAGTTCAGAGGATTCCCTTTCAAGTGCAGATGTAAAAGGTCTTTGTAGCAGAATGCAGGTGGTTAAGTCATTGAGAGAGTGTCCTTTCTGGTTAAAATGGCACTACATTAAGCAATGTAGTGATCTCAACCTAACTTTAGTTGAGAACAGACCACAGGGACATCCGTTTATGTTTTTACCAACTTAAATGGGCTTGTAGGGGAAAATGATTAAACCAAGGATTCTTGAACACAACTCTACGACAAATTCCAATAGTAGAAGTATTTCAGAAGACAAGCAACCTTGGTCATTATGCAGCGCCAGCAATGTCAGCTGCTTGCCACATTTCCCCATGGTTCAATTTTACCTCAGCTGTCAGGTACTCCAGAATAGCAGCACTGTATACTGCAGCTGTAGCTCCCACACGTCCATGGCTGGTGGTCCTTGATTTCAAGTGTCGGTGGATGCGGCCAACAGGGAACTGCAAAGGGTCAGAATAGAATTAAAGTGACTCAGGCTTTATCAACAGACCTGAAATGGCTTGTAAGATACAAGATACACCAATCATATCACATGGAAGGGCTTGGGACTGGCAGACAGACATCACTGGGATAAGAGTGTAAAGTTGCAGTCTTACACTTCTTGCTTCTCTACAGCACTCAGGCAGCAACACACAACTACCCCCTCTACACACATTGAGCGCTCAAGCTCATTGACTATAAAGCATACACCTGCAATTCAAGTAACTGTTTGAGTGCTTTTAGCAGGCTCTCCACCCTGAGATTACACTAGCATAGGTGTGATCCAGTCGTCCACTGTATGTTTTGAACAGTGGGTTGGACTAGACAAATTCCTCAACCTGATCTTCCATGTAAGAAGCTCACGATTTAAAAACCTTGCAATAAGAGTATTCTGCCGTAACTTTGGAGGGCTCTCCAGCAAACCCTTCCCAGTCCAGAGCGATTGTGCTATAAGCAGATAGCTCGCCCAGTCCTCACCTGCAGGCCAGCTCTCTGTGAGCGGGATACCGCCTTGGTCTTGGTCTTTCCGGAATCCTTTCCAGCTTTTCCACCAGCCTAAGGCAAAAAAGCAGAGATTAATGGGGAGCAGCACCTGCCACAAGCGCAGCGTGCCCCATGCTACCCCATACAGAACGCAAGCAGTGAAGGTAACCGGCGCGCGGCGCCTTAAGCGCATGCGCCTCCCGTATCTAACCAGCGTGTCTAATTCCTCCACGCTAGCAGGCCCAAGCAGCTTCCCGAGCGCATGCGCCCCACCCACTTCCGGTCATCGGTGGCGTCACTACTGCGCGTGCGCCATCTCCCTTCTTTCCTCTTCTCCCCCTCCCCCAACAGGTTTAGCATGAGCACCTCCCATTCAGGCAACCGCCACCACCCACCGTTAACCCCCTTCCTTCGCGCGCTTTCACCCTCCGCGGCGCGTTCAGTTCAGCTTCGGCCCTTCCCCCAGCCTCCCCGCTGAGCCCCGTTCCTGCGGCTCTCTTACCATTATGAGCGGTGTTGCAGCGCCACAAACGGGTAGTAAGCGAAAGAGCGCGTGCCCAACCACACCAGCCCGAGCCCAGCACCCGCCGCGATTCAAACTGCGCCCGCTCCCGCCTTGCGCGAGCGCTTTATAACCACCGAACGTGCCCGCATCCGGGAACCCGGCTCCTGCTGCTAGCCCCGTTCCTGCGGCTCTCTTACCATTATGAGCGGTGTTGCAGCGCCACAAACGGGTAGTAAGCGAAAGAGCGCGTGCCCAACCACACCAGCCCGAGCCCAGCACCCGCCGCGATTCAAACTGCGCCCGCTCCCGCCTTGCGCGAGCGCTTTATAACCACCGAACGTGCCCGCATCCGGGAACCCGGCTCCTGCTGCTAGCCAATCGACTGAGTGGGGACGGGCCTTCACTGAGGCGCCCGGACCAATCATAGGCCAGCGAGTGGGCGGAGTTGGTAGGGTTGAGTGACTGACAAGAGCGGGCAACCCGCTTCCTCGGGTCCTCAAAAGACTCCGTCCATATTTAAAGTGACGTCACCACTCCTCGCTCACGGGCGTGCTGAGTGCGTGGTTCATTGGGTCGCGCTCCGGGGCGGGGAAAGGTGGGAGCCGGGGCCTGTGTCTCGTGACTGCTTATGCAGCTGCCCGGCCTCCCTGCTGCCTGGCTCAGCACAGCGGGTGCCTGGTGCATCTATCAAGGTTGCTAAACGGGCGCTCAGAAAACATGAGTCAGTCCTGCCCCTCCCCCCCCCCCAGGCTTGCCACATGGCTGTAAAAATCAGGAGCCTCGTGACGCTTTGTGAGAGGGAGTGTGACATGTTCCCTGGGGCTGGAGTACTCCGAGGGCACGTTTTAAGTCTCGATCTCTGTAGAGCAACTAGAAGCAGGTTTTCTTAAAAGCCGGTGAGATTATCTTGCAGCCACACATCATTCCAAGTGTTTTTAAGGAAGATACCACTTAGTGCAAGAGTTGGTCATGCTACATTTGTTCTCCCACAACAGCTTTTATTTTGTCAAATGCTTAGCTGCTCCTGCCTTCTAGACCAGTGGTCCCCAACCTTTTGGGGGTGCTGGGCACCTGGGGGTGGGGCCACTCACGTGCCGGGCACCTGGGGGGGGGGCGGGGGCCATACGCCGCGTTCTCAGTGCTGGCGCCACCCATGCGCCACACTCCTGGGGCCGGCGCTGTTCCTATGCTGCACGGCCAGGGTTGGGGCTGCCCATACACCACGCTCCTGGGGCCGGTGCCACTCCTGTGCCGGGTGCCAAGGGGCGGGACCGCCCATGCACTGCACTCCTGGGGCCGGAACAGCCCATATGCTGCATGCCTGGGGCTGGTGCCGCTCCTATGCCACGCACCCAGGGCCGGCACAGCCCCATGCACTGCGCGCCTGGGGGCGGGACTGCCCATGTGCTGCGTGCCCGGGACTGGTGCCACCCCTGTGCCGCGTGCCCGGAGCCAGCACCATCCATGCGCCACGCGCCGAGGTTCAGGGCCGGCCCCGATCACTCGGCGGGTGCACAGAAATGGCCTGGCGGGTGCCATGGCGCCCACAGGCACCACGTTGGGGACCACTGTCCTAGACTAAGGGGAGACTTTTTAGGACCTTTCCATTTATTCCAATGAGTCTCAAGAACAGTTACCCATTGCGTGTCTGCGGGAGGTGGGTGTACCATAATAAGGGTCTAGTCAGGGACGGCCATTGACGACCGTGCAGGTGGGGGCGCCAATCGCGCCTTCCACCTGGGGCGCCAGCTGCCGCAGCCAGCCTTGGGCCGCTTCTGGGTCTAGTCAAGTGACAATCAGGAAGGAAGATGTTTCCAATGGAGTTATCTTAACATGATTAATAGTTCTCTGCTCACCCTTCTCAAGCACAAATCTTTGAAAGCATATTGCAACCTATGTGTATATCTACAGAGGCCCTCAACCTTGAGTTAGAATTAATTGGCATTCTATACTCAGCTAAAACCCCATGTAGACATTTTGTCAGGAACTAGAAGTTTTTCCATGTAACTCCATTAGGTATCTTGCAGGTTTCTTTGAATTACCTGGTATTAATCACTGTCAAGATAGGAGACCAAAGACATCACTGATTGATGCAGTATGGCAATTGCTAAGTCAACTGTCATAAACTTGGTAAATGTGGTGGCAGGAGATGATTGGTGAAGCACTTTTGATTTAGGAATTCGTTTCCCATCCTACTGTTTTATTGTTGCTATGCTGAGAAACTGAAATCCTCAAACAGAATTAACTCAAAGTTTGATCTTGTTCTGAATTAAAACAAGAGCTTAAATTTAGAAGTTTTCAATGAAAAGGGCGTCCCTATCACAGCAAGGCTACGTCTACACTGGCCCCTTTTCCGAAAGGCGCATGTTAATTTCACAGGTCGTAATAGGGAAATCCGCGGGGGATTTAAATATCCCCCGCAGCATTTAAATAAAAATGTCCGCCGCTTTTTTCCGGCTTTTAGAAAAGCCGGAAAAGAGCGTCTACACTGGCCCCGATCCTCCGGAAAAAAAGCCCTTTTCCGGAGGATCTTATTCAAAGTAGGAATAAGATCCTCCGGAAAAGGGCTTTTTTTCCGGAGGATCGGGGCCAGTGTAGATGCTCTTTTCCAGCTTTTCTAAAAGCCGGAAAAAAGCGGCGGACATTTTTATTTAAATGCCGCGGGGGATATTTAAATCCCCCGCGGATTTCCCTATTACGACCTGTGAAATTAACATGCCCCTTTCGGAAAAGGGGCCAGTGTAGATGAGCCCCACAAGTCATCCTATGCTGAAAACTGAAAGGGCAGGCTGTCAAGAAGCCACTCCCAGACTCCTCATCAATCCACCAGATAGAAAGTCTGGCAGGATTCCATGAAGCCCTGCCTGCTTGCCATCTAGCCTTCATCAAAATTAAACCATCTCTACAGAACACTTAAAATTTTGACAAATCAGTATTCTGAGGGGAAAAAGTCTATTTATAAGTGCAAGATAAGGTCATTTTCAGACTTGCTGGAGAGGATAATACTGTTATTTCCTCAAGTAATGTTCTGAGGGAAGACGGGTCATTTTAACTTTGGTCAAAAGTTTCAGAATATTTTATGTGCATACACCCTCAAAGATTTAATGATGGGCGGGCTTTATAAGTAACAAAAAATAAGAAGTCCCTGGTATTTATATTGTAACAAGTTACTCTGCGTGGACCTTCAACATATCTTACTCAATGAAAGTTTCAATTGTCTGGCAATCTAAGCAAGTGGCATTTTTAGATATTGCAGCATTACCATCTTGAACGTACCATTAGCATTTTATAATAGTCTTCATCTAAAATAGAATTTATTTGATCATTGTATAAGGTGTCTCCGGTGACAAAGGGGCACATTTTTAAAGTTATTTGGATGTCTGAAGATGTAGGATTTTTAACTATGCCTGGGGTATTCAATTTCTACTGAAGTAATTTTGACTTGCTCACCCGGGTACTTTTGAGAATCACTGTAGGACCCTGTCTGCCTCTTTAGATATCTAGGGCTAGATTCACAAATAAAACTGGTTTCCCCTGACGTACAGTGAATTCTCAGCCACTGGTGAGCCATCCAATGCATGGGGAAAGTTAAATACCTACAAAAGGGGGTTGAAACCTCCACACACACTCCTCATTGGTGGGAATGGCTCAGATACTTTGGTGGGAAATGTCAAGGGGCAGGGCCAAATTCTTCAGAGGTAGTTAAATTCCTTGACTGAATTCACAGCCGCTACCTCGCTTCTGCAGTGAGGTGCCTAAGGCAGGTCAGCCTTTTCTTGTGTCAACAGCCACATCCATCAGTGCTAATAAGTCAGTGGTTAGAGCACTTGCCTGGGATGAGAGAGACCTGCTTTCAAATTCTTGCTCTGCCTGATTTGGAGCAGCAATTTGAACTTCATTTCCTACATAATGGGGGAGTCCCCTGGCTATTGAGCAGAGAGATTTCATGGATGACTCTGTAGCCTGTCTGGCTGCTGGAGCATTTGCCTGGAAGGGGAGACATCCAATCTCCTTGAACTAGTGATCTTTTAAAAAAGTTGTTTATCCACTTTGGACAGCTTTTATGGGAGAGACTGAGGGAGCCCCACATCATAATACCCCATTGCCTAACAGTTAGCTTAGTTCAAATCAGAGAGAGTGTGTGCAACTGAGGGTGTCCCACATCCTGGGTGGGAAATCCACTTCTGGACTAAAAGTTTTGAGAGGTCATGCCCCTCACAGGCTTCTTGTTAGAACACTTAAAGAAGCTTTGCGCAAAGAATCCCAATCAGGAAGAGACACCTCCCTGCAGACTGGCTCAAGAGAGGCATGGGGCTTTACACACCCTCCCTCTCAGCTTGGCATCTCCCACAGCTATTGTAGAAGCAGAACTACCTACCATGTTCATTTGTGTGAATCCCATAGTGAGGTACTCAGTTCTCCCCCAGCCAACCTACAGGGATCCCAGGCACCTAATGCAGGCTTTGTGAATAATGGTGCTTTTTCTAATCACTGGTAGGTGTTGCGAAGTTGAATATCACTATGCCAAAGTTTCTTTGTAAAGCTAGTGTAATGAGCTGATGCTGTTCCAAAATATGGATAGATAAGGTCACACTGACACTGCAAGAATAATCCACTGCAAGAATAGTTTAAATAACTAAACTATTTAACTATTTAGTCACTAGTTCCCTCCCCAGCCATTGTGTATAGACAGGCTGTTATAGCAGGAATCCCATAACTGTAATTTCACTGTAGACAGAAAAAAAAAATCTGCTACGAGTATATGTCCAGCGTTTTTCAAATCCTAATAGCAACAAAATATTTGCAGTGTTGGATTTTTTTGGAAGGAAAAAAAAATCAAGTGCAGACTTTCATGCAATATTGCTGTTGTACAATTAGGTATTTAAAACCTAACGTGCACTTCTGGACAACCTGAACCTTAATCTTGCCTTTTTATATTGTTAGTTTTAATGTGATCCACATCCTATTTCTTAAATACAACAGAATTTTTTCTAACACTACTTTGCATTTATATAGCGTTTCTTCCAGAGATCAATCTGATAGACATTTATCCACAGAAAACACTTGCAAGATACTTGCCTACCACCATTTAAAACAGGTAAGTGACAAACACATTTGTGACCTGATTTCCAAAAGACTGTGTTCTAAAGGCTTGTCTATACAGATTCAGGAACTGGTTAAACTAAATCTGAACAAGGCCTTCTTGTTCTCAAATAAGAGTGCACACTTCCAGGGGTAGTCCTGAACAGTTATTTCCCTAAAATCACAAAGTCAGTGTGAGAGTTTATGAATAGAATGTAAATATGACTCAGACTCCTCTGCTTTGACAAACACAAGACCTTCCTTATACAAAAGGGAATATATGTATTCAAGTAATATTGTATTACATTAGTGCCTAGAGCCCCAATCAAGATCAATGCCTCATCATACCAGAAAAGACAGAAACTTATAGGGAAATGTATCCAGGAGGTACTGAGAAAGGCATACCCAGACTTTCGTAGTACTGACTTTCTTTAACCTCAAAATTAAAATCCACAGCTTTCTGCAATCAGAGACCTTTCCCATTTTTCCAAGTGCAGCAACAAGCAGGACAAGTTGTTCAGATACAGCTAGGTTACGTCTACACTGGCCCCTTCTTCGGAAGAGGCATGCTAATTTAGAACTTTGGAATAGGGAAATCTTTCAAGTAGGAATAAGAGATCCTCCGGAAAAGGGCTTTATTCCGGAGGATCGCGCCAGTCTGGACGCTCTTTTCTGGCTTTTCCCCAAGCCGCAAAAAAAGCGGCAGCCATGTTTATTTAAATCCCGCGGGGGATATTTAAATCCCCCGCGGATTTCCCTATTCCAAAGTTAGAAATTAGCATGCCTCTTCCGAAGAAGGGGCCAGTGTAGACGTAGCCCTAGTGTTTTGTGTGTATGTGGGATGGGTGTATGTCTTAGACTTTGGATTTGGAATGCAGGAGATTCTGAACTTTGGAGAGATTAGGTACAAGGAATTGTTTCCAAACTGGAAGCATAGGTAGAGCCCTGCAAATCCATAGATATCCGCTTTACAACTGCAAATATCTTTAGATAATTTTTGTAGATGCAGATATTAATTTTGTGTCTGCACAGTGCTCTAAGCATAGGTATGCTTCTGAGCAAATGGAGAAATGGTTGGAAGAAGCTTGGGGGTCAGACTAAACTGGGAGGGGAACAAATTGGGTTTTTGCTAGCAGTGGGAATGGGATCAGTTTGTGAAATCAGATTGGGTTGATTGATGATGGTTAGAAGGAGGAGACAGGCAGTCAGGGAACTACGAAAGAACACAAATGGGAGTATTGTTTGTGCTCAGTCTATGATTCAGGCTAGAAATATCCCAATTCCACAAGGGGAGGAAATAGGAGAGGTACTCTTTACTTCTCAGTTGCCCACTATCCTTCCTTGTCCTCCATCACAATTTTTCCCACAGACCCTGGGTCTCTCCCAGTCTCTCTCCCCAGTGCCTTTGAGTTATATTCAGGCTGCTGGGGACAGCTGAAGGTGAGGCAAAAGGTACCTTGCTAAGTGAAGCCCTGTTATTTTGGACACCAGCCATTACTTCTTAACAATATAAATATTGGGAGGACACACTTCATGCTGTTTCAGAATGGTAGTCCAGACTGTTCATATGACTGTATTCTACAAACTTTTTTTGGTAGTGCTAGATTTATCCAAGCCGTACTATATCAGAATTAATACAATAGTAGGAACCAATGACAATTAGAAATAGCAACATGTTTTTCTAAACACCATTTTGGAAATTCACTTTCACATAATTGCTTACTAGAACTCCAAGTATTACTAACTGTTGCAGTGCTATAGAAATCTAGAGCTGAAACTACTGATACAAATGTGTTTTGTGCAATGTTGGCTAAAGAAATCTAAAACGTACTAATCCATAACAAGTGATATGGAAGTACAAATATGAAGTGCCCCAAAGAATTAGTTCCTCCCTTTTTCCTACAGAAGGACTGGAAACTGTGCTCCATAGGACATTTTTGGAATAGGGCAGCTGGTTTAATAAAGGGAAACTTTTCATCCTGCTTTCTTTCTCCCTTCAAAGCTCGGCTAGGAAGTACAGTAGAGGGCTATGTAAGAACGGAGCTGAAGGAACAAAAATAGCTTTGCCACAGACAGCAATCTTCCCTTCCCCCCACCCCTTTGGTGGTTTACATAGCAACTTCAGCCACAAACTTTTTATTTTCATATGCTCCAATTTAACAAAGGGTGTTATTTTGAACAGCTTTAGTTAATTGTGTGTTACCATTCACCTCCATTAAATCTTAACTATCATTTTCTTTACTGATAGAAGGCATATGTAAATGTAAAAGGAATATTCACACACAAGTTTGTGTTAGTTTAGATTAAAAGAATTTTTACCACAAGATGTAATTCTGTTCAGACAAGGCCTAAGCTAGCCAACAAGTCTCTTTCTGAATATGCCTGTAGAAACCAACTGCATTATTTAAAAAGGTACTAATGTAATACGAAAGGTTATAATATTGTTAATTCCTTTTTCATCATATCCTAATGGTGAAGGACTAAACTACAGTGTATTTGGAGAAACAAAAAGGAAGAGACAGTTTGTAAAAAAACCTCCTACAAAACAAGTCCAAGCACTGTACATTATATGACATAAGGGTACCTTACCACATCCATGTTCTTACAGAAATGTACTCCTAAAAATTCTCTCACTTAGGGTATGTCTACACTACAGAGTTTTGTTGGAAAAATGGCCATTTTCCTGACAAAACTTGAGGAACGTCCACACTGAAATCGTGCTCTTTTGCAAGTAAATCAAAAGAACAGAGGACTTTTTCTGACAGCGGTAATCCTCATTCTACAAGGAAAAAGCCTTTTTGCACCCTTACCTTCAGTGAGCAAAGAGAGTCTTCCTCTCTACTCTCCTTCCCTTGATGAATGCTTCAATTTCCCCTTTAGGCCTGACACATTTCTCTCTTGTTTTGTTTTATGTAGTTATATAGATTTTTTTCATAAGCTTTGTTTTTAGCAGCTGCTAGATATTAAAGCATATTTTGTTTTAGGTATTTGAAGTTAGTAAGAAATTGTTCTAAATTGTCTTTTTAACTTTGTAAGTCTGTAAGAAATCCTGCCTGTTCCTTTGTAAGATAAATTGCTTTCTCTGAAATGAGCTGTTCTTAGTGTGAATGAGGAACATGGGAAGACAACAGAAGACTCCAGCACCAGATGGTCAGAATGGTTAACAAGAAGGTGTGAACTCAGGCATCGGTCAAATTCAGGATGCCAAAAGGGGGTAGAATAGATTACTCTAAAACAAGGGCATACACCTGTGAATGAGATAAACCAGCTGCAGTCACTCCCCGGATATTCATTAAAGTACTGATGAAGCATAACAGTGGAACCAGCTTTGAGGTAAAACAATTAGATGATTTCAATCTGTCACTGCAAAAACCTATAGACTAAAGTTGGGTCTTACAACCATAACAGTAGGGTGTGTTGCCAGGAAGCTTTGGTTTAGTCCTGTGAAGACAACTTCGGAGCATTGGACTGCAGCTGACAGACCCCGACTCCTTCCTCATATCCAGTCCAATTGGCCAGTAGGCTTTCAGGAACACCAATAAGACTGGTAACTCTGGCTATGTCTACACAGCAACGTTATTTCAAAATAACTAACGTTATTTCAAAGTAACATAGTCCATGTCTATCCAGCTGGCAGTTATTTCGATATAATGTCAAAATATTGTCAAGCTTCAAGACTTCTTACTCCGACTCCTGTAACCCTCATTTTATGAGAGGTAAGGGAAATTGAAAAGAGTGCTCTATTTTGAAATAAGTGCTGTGCTTCACCAAAACTTGAAATAAGCTATTTTGAAATAAGCGTCACAATTGACGTAGCTCAATTTGCGTAGCTTATTTTGAATTAAGCTCTGTTGTGTAGACACACCGTATGACACCAGCTGCATAACTTTGTGTGTGAATAGACGCATATGCTAATTTCTATGTTGTATTTGCAATAAACATGGCATATTCCCTTTCCCCCTGAAAAAGACCCTTTGTGTGTTTCTTATAAACATAACACCAATGGCTTCATTCTTAGGACTTAGTTACTGAAGGGTAAGCTTATTTCGAAATAGCATGTCTACACTACAGGGAAGCCTCAAAATTAGTCTGAGGCAGGCTTCTCTAATGTAGACGTGCTATTTCGACTCAGCATCCCAAGAGGCACTGGGAAAGTATAACTTAGAATGGCCCCGGTGAGGGGCTATTTCAAAATAGCAGCAGTGGAGCATCTACACGTGCCTTATTTTGAAATAGTTATTTTGGAATAGGCGTTATTCCTCGTAGAATGAGGTTTACAGATTTCGGAATAAGCAAAATCCATTATTTTGAAATTATTTCGAAATAACAGAATGGCTAGTTATCTTGAAATAATGGCGCAGTCTAGACAGACCCTAATGGTGTTGGATTTCCAAAGCAGTAGGGAGTATCAAACTTGTCCCAGGCTAAGGGGGGCCCACAAAAAGATAAGCACTTTTGGCAGCCTGGAGATCTTTTTGCAGTCCACCCCCTTACTGCAGGGCCCTTGGCTGCAAGCCCTAAGACCCCTTTCTTTATCCAGTCCAGAGTTGAAGGCAGTAATGGCTGCCATTAAGTGTGTCTTTGATCTATAGAACGATCACATACTTGGTTAAAGTTGATGCGTGCACTAACCACCTTTCATTCAGGCTACATAAATAGAAGGAGCAATTAAATGTTCCTGTGTGTAATGATCGTTGACATTATAGGAAGCCATCACCCAAAGCAATGAACTGTATGGCTACACTAATCACAAGTTAATATATGTGGCTTTAAGGGTTTCCCTGAGGACTGATTGCAATGAGGAGGCAGTGGAGAGGACTGACCGTGTGAAAGAGGCAGAAAGTAACCAGAAAGTCAAGAGAAAATGAGAGCAGAAATGGTAGGTATAATCTGGAGATAAACTGGGGAGACAGAGCTTCTTATAGATACAATATTCAGTAGATATGTAGACCTACCTCTGTGAAGAAGGAGACGGTATTCTGTTCTTTGTTTGTACTGTGTTCAGGATAATAGGGTTTTGTTTACATTCTTGTAAATAGACAAGATTGCACCAAAAAAATAGCTGATCCGTGTTAGCAGATTTTCCTCCTATCAGGGACAAGGTCTCAAATATTGGCTAAGCATTGGAGTAAAATAGAGGAAACAACCTACATTTGTGCAGAAATGTAATCAGTGCTCATGAGCTAAGCAAATTCAGGCATGGGTAGGGTGGGGTGTTTCTGCGCTGTACAGGCATGATGTATACAGGCAGTCCCCGACTTACGCGGATCCGACTTATGTCGGATCCGCACTTACGAACGGGGCTCTCTCACCCCGGAGCTCGCAGGCAGCGGTCAGCCACCTTGAGCTCCGGGGCGAGAAAAGCTGCTCCCGGTGCCCCTGGTCTACTGGGGACCATCTCCAGCAGACCAGGGGCACCAGGAGCAAACCCGCAGCAGCGGCGGGGTTCCCCGCCTCTGCGGCTTTGCTCTGGCAAAGAGTTTCATCATGGCTCTTTTTGTGGGGATGGAAGGGCAAATGACAATCTAACCCCACCCCTGGAATTATCTGGAGAGAAAATCCACAAGGGATTTTTTTCTTCATTAGTACCTCTTGTTAGTTTTATTGCAGAAGGGGGATGGTCCAGCATCTGGTTACTAGGCAGCTGCTCAAGAATTATTTGAATGTGCAAATCGGTTATGCCTGTCATTTGTTCCTACTGTAGAGATCCTGAGTTAATACCTATTTTCACCTCCATGTAGAGTGATGTTTACAAAATCAAGACCATAGCTGGACTGAAAAAAGTATATACAACTGGTACCAACATAAATTACACACCAGATATTAAATTATTAAATCAATATTATGTACACTTAATTACAGCCACCTGTAACAAAGAACTACAAACATCAAGGGATGTTCTATGTCAATGAGAATATTTCACTAAACATAGGCTGAGCATCAGAATGAATATACATATTTTGTGCATGTCTCTACAAGTGGCTATAGCAACAACATGCAGATTATGTAGTAGATGGAATACAATTTCTTCCACTATTTGATCTGAGGAAGTGGGTCTGGCCCACGAAAGCTCATCATCTAATAAACCATCTTGTTAGTCTTTAAAGTGCTACATTGTCCTGTATTTTGTTTAATCTCCTGAAATGTTACTTTAAATGAACAAAATGTATTGGCCACATGGTGGCAGCATAATTTAAGAAATGAAAATAGGTACCTGAAATGTAAAATATGCAACCCATATTTTTATAGAGTTTTAGGTTATGTCTTCACTGACAAAAAGCAGATATTTTTCTTTGATGGTGGGTTAACTATCAAGGATTAGTTATCTCACTGTAAAAGCCTAGTGGAGATAAGGTTCTTGAAGTTTTCACTGCAGTATAGCCATGCAAGGTCAGCATTATACTTAGAACCCTGCAAATCCACAGATATCCACCTTATATATCCGTGAGTATCCACATGCACAGATGTGGATGCGGATATCTGCAGCACAGTTTTGCAGATATAGATGTGGATACAAATTTTGTATCTAGAATCTCGCAAATCTGCAGTTATTCGCTTTATATCTGCAGATATCTGCATCCCTAGATGTCTGTGGCATATTTGCAGCACATTTTTTTGGATACAGAAGTGGATGTGGATACAAATTTTGTACCTGCACAGAGCTGTAATTATATGTTCTTCCTTGCCTGTAACTGCCCTAACCTAGTTTACCTCACGCTAAAACTGCAGTGCATTCTCTCTGCTAGGATTTTACAACAGGATAGCTAATTTATCTTAGTTATTCCACACAACTTTTGTTTTAGAATGAAGAGATAGTATTACCACCATTGCAACTCCCTGGATGGTAAGATAATGTGATTTATCTGATTATGCATTGTATAAACAGCTAGTCCTTGAAGAATTAGTTATTGATTTTAGCCTCTGTCTTCCAACTCCCTCTTTAATAAAACTAGGGGGCTGTGCCCTCTGCTTGCTATGCTCGCCTACCCCCCTCTCTCTGGCTGCTTTTGCTTCACTGAGGGAGCCTGTTGATGCTGATGACACTACGATTTCATCCTGTTGCCTGGCAGGAACATTCTGTCATCCAGCAGGAAAACTTTTTTATATATAGAGAGAGATAAGTCCTATCTCTAGCCTGCTATTTTTTCACTTGCCAAATAACTCTCTGGCTTCATTTCTCTTCTTCAGGTACTGCTTGTTGGACATACTGGGGTCAGGATAGTGTCTACATGCTTTTGTGCTGCACTCAGCATAGTAGCTCCTTAATTGATTAGGACTTCGACATCATATGTAATATAAAAAAAGTTAAATAATAACGCTCCAAACATTAGTATTTGCATGTTGCATCATCATCATTTATGAATAATTTCTTATGCTCTTGCACAAAAAGCACTGGACAAAACCAAATTGAGTTGCTGTGTTGTATTGTCTAAGCTTTTCTTTGCTTCATCAAGTTTCCCAAATAGTAAGACTTACCTGTTCTGCTTGATAGATGACTTGTACCAGGGGAGAAAATTCTGGGAGAACCTGGGGACCTTTGGCATTGCACTGGTTAAATGGCAATTGTTCAGTCTGTTTCTTCTTTGTATCACAATGAGGGATATATATCCATTCTCCTTATCACAGTGAGGCAGCTGGATCATCTGTACCATAAATCAGGAGAAAGAACAATGGAGTATAACTAGCAATAGGGGAGAACTGGGATTGGGTAGAGACTGAGGATGGGAGCAGATCATCCTTGATTAAAGCAAGGTTTGAAGCAGGTGTGAGAAAGACATGAAGAACATGAAGTCCTTGGTACAGCGGAAACAGAAAGGAAGGAGCCAGGCAGGTGGGGCTGAGACGGGGGGCATGAATCTCTCTCAGAGAAGTAAGAAACCAACCCTTGCTGAGTGGAGTAAATGGGAGGTGAGTATGCAGCCCCGGGACATGGGACGGGTGGTAGGATTGTCATCATCCAGGTATCAAATTATGTATTATGTTACAGTCAGATACATTCTCAGTATCCCTGGTGGAGTCAGTGCAAATGCAACTGTAATGGCAGTTTACAAAATGTTCCCACTCATTTCCATTATATTGTACTGTTTCTGCTTTTGTATCAGCAAACTCTCTTCATTGCTGTTGTGTATGAACAGTAAACTCCCTTACAGTCAGAGGTGACAGGAGGTCAGATCTGAGTATCCCAAGAGGTGGGAAGTGAGGGCACTGTTGTGGATGTCACATGGGGAACTTAACACTTCCTAGGATGGAGCCCTTTCCAAACTTCTATTACAAATTTGAATCCTATCATTTTTCCTGTATTTCCTTTCTCCGCATTATGACATCACAGATACTGGATTGTGACATGCCTCAAGGTATCTGTAAAGTGCCCTAGTCTGCTTTTGTTTGTGTAAGCAGTCTATTGAGGCTCTGTGATAGTTAGGACAATACAAATAAATGAAGTTATCTAATGAAGTTTGCTCACATACAAAAGTCCATTTTTAAGAATGTACTAGAGCATGACTTTGGCTCTGGGTGCTACTTATTTGAGATACCCTTATGCTATGACAGAGTTGATGGTGCAGAGGAATGGCTAAAAAACTTTTGCAGTGACTAAAATAGGTCTGTAAAGGCAGTCTGGTATGAGAGCCAGAGGAAAGGCATCCAGAAGGCAGAGTTTCAGGAAAGACCAATTACCCTGCTCACTCCAATAACAAATTGAGGCAGTAGCCTTGGAGAACTAGGCTCCAGGTTTCAAGTTAAGAAATAGTTTCTAAATTTGGGACCACAGGACTCTTAAGGTATGTCTACACAGCAGGGCTCAACTCGAAATAAGCTATGCAACTTGAGCTACGGTAATTGCATAGTGTAAGTCAAAATAGCTTATTCTGAATTTGGGCACATCTACACAGCATTTATTTTGAAATAGAGCACTCTTCCTCTGACTTCCCTTACTCCTTGCAGAATGAGGTTTACATAAGTCAGAGTAAGAAGCCTGTTATTTTTTGATTTTGAAATAATAGGCTGGCTGTGTAGACGTGCGTATGTTATGTCGGAATAGCTGACATTATTCCGAAATAACGCTACTGTGTAGACATGCCCTTAGTGTATGCTACCCCTAATGCAGGAGCATAGCTGTCACTGTTGTTCTTTCTGCTTCAGTGCTGAACAGACTAATGGGTGCTCAGTTTCCTCCCAATTTAATAGTAGCATTTTGAGTTTAAAAAAAAAAAGAGTGTAGTTGCAGTTTCTGCTCACAGGCTAAATGGATCTGAATTGGGAGGAACTCAACTGCTGTCAAAGAAGTTCCTCTCAGTCTGGAGTGGTGTAAAAGAGCAGAATTTGCTACCTAGACTCATCTGAAAATAAATTTAAATAAAAGAAAATAAAGAAAAAATACAGGGAGATGAATAACAGATTGTTCAGCAGAAAGACTGGGACATATTTTGGAGCCACTAATTTTTTTCTCCCTTGCATTTAGGAGAGTACAAATACTTGAACTAATTTAATCATAGTCCCTCACCTTCTCCCCTGGGAAGCTCTTGGTATCAATGGCAGCTGGTATTAAATGAGTTCTTGTTTTCTTCACATCTTTTATCTCAGTGTTATGAGAGTCCCAAAGTCTGAATTCACAACATTGGAATGTGCTTCACAAATACATACTCACTCCACCACACTTCCTGTCCTTTCACACGCGCAATATAATTCAGAACTGCTTCAGCAGGGCCAATGGTTTGTACCAATTGCAGTAGACACAGTGAGTCTATGGGGAGATTGGAGATCTCATCCCACTCTGTTGTTACTGTTGAAGGCAAGGTCCCATTTTCTAACCACTCCTCTTCACTGCCAGCTGCTTCTTGAGACAGAATGATGCATCTCCCCTGTTAGCAGTTATCTTTAACAACCTTGTGCAGCACAATGAACTATCATGGGTTTGTTTAAAAGGCTGAATAGGCCCTTTCTAATGTGACGAAGCCTCATAGATGTTTGAGTTCTCTGTAAAATATAGGGCTTTTTTCCTGTTTGCTTGGTAACAACCACCTGTAAACTTACTGATAAACTGGCTTATTAGTGACCTATACAAAAGGCTGATGAAAAGGTCTGAGCCAGCCAGTCATTGCCCATCCAGAAGAGAACAAATCAATTAGTCATCTACTTCAACATGGAGAAATCTGTCCATCAACACTGTGGAATACAAATAAACAGCACCATTAGAAAGTGGTGAAAAACATGGCAATGTTTCCAAACATCTCATTCATGCTGTCAAATGAGCTGCACACATCTGGATTTGCAGTTCCTCCACTGAGGTTGCTTGAGGGACATTTCTTCAGACTTCCTTCTTGAGTCCACTTCCATGTGTCTTATGCAAGTAATCTTACTAGCACTCTTTGGGTGTGTCTAGACTACAGGGTTTTTTCGAAAAAAGTGGTCTTTTTAAAAAAAAACTTCCCCTGTGTCTAGACTGCTGCAGTGTTTTAAAAGTAAATTGGAAGAACGCGGCAGTTTTTTTGACTGCAGAAAACCTCGTTATACAACGAAGAACGATCTTTCGAAAGTGCTCTTTCCAAAAAAGGCGCTATGTAATGCAAACTGCACTTTTTCGAAAGAGAGCATCCAGACTGCCTGGGTACTCACTTTTTCGAAAGACGTGGTTGCAGTATAGACACTTTCTTTCAAAAGAGGCTTGCAGTCTAGACGTAGCCTTTATGGTCAATTTCAGAGCATTTTCCATGGTGATTATTTGTGTATAAGTTGCTCTGATCCTCCAGAGTTTGAAGGAGGAAGTTTTCAAGTGACTTTTTTCCTTGTAGAAGTCTCCAGATGCATCCTTTAATATACACAGCATGGAAGAAAAGTCTATAAAAGTAAAATATTAACTACGGCCACCTTCTTTCGGTGACTTTTTTACAATAGCACAGTCCTAAAATAATCAAATAACAGTTAATTTTTGTAACAATGATTTCTTGCCCTCAGAACAGCAAGCTGCAGAATGGTTTTATTCTGCATGATTTTTCCCAAAGAGTGGTCCATCATCTCCCCTTTGGAAGATGTTTAGCAATAAGCAGGATCAAACTAAGGTGTTTAAAAATATTGCCATGGTAACAGCACAGATTTACACATGCAGTATTTGTGCCACTGCAATCAGCTGGAATGTCTAAGTATATGTTACAAGGTTCTTGCAGAATTTTTCTTTGAAGCACAAAAAAGTTTGGCCAGGCCGCTCTTGTTCTGCAGTACTCCTTGAGAGAAACCGGCCACACCCTTCCTGCATACCATTGCCTTTAGAAAAAAGAAAGGTGTGAAAAGGGGAAAATAGCCTCAGACTCTCCCACCCGTCACCTTGGCATGAGAACTGCGGGGCTTACCTGGTCGCATGAAACCTGCACAGTTTTGGCCCAACCCCTGGGACACAGACCCCCCACTTGGTGACCATTGGGCCATATATGGTAATATGCAAGCACGGGAAAGCGATGTGCAGATTTGGGGATAAATACCCACGGTACAGTTCGCTGTAGGAGGTCTTTGCAACACACGTACCACTGTGCGTGTGCCTTCTCATATACTTCAAAGCGCTGCCGGCCTGATCAACCGACCAGCCACCTCCCCCGACTCTCGGGCGTAACCAAGGCCTTCGCAACCGAACCGATATCTGTGACATGTTCCGTGTGCTGTGTACGTTGGTATGTAGGATTTGATTTTTTCTTGTTGTATAAGCTTAGTGTTGTAGTTGTTTTGGGTAGCACAGAGAGTTTGTAGTTATCACTCTTATTTAATTAGTGTAGCTGGATATTTTAAGATTAGAGACTATTCCCCTTGCCATTCCCATCATTATATCTCTGACACGTTTTACTAGAAATCATAGAATAAATATAATAAATACTGTAAATTCATTATTAACACGGTCTATTAAAAATCTTAGAATAAATACTATAAATTCACCATTGTCATAAATAAATATTTTTTATTTGATAAAACTGTCCACCTGGTTCTGTCCTTCCCCCCTTGGGTATTCATTATCGGACCTGTGATTCTCGCGACACTGGGCAGTAAATCCTATATTCCTAAATCTGTCAGCCAGATATCTGAATACTGGGAGATGTTTGCTGAATTATTACTTGCCTGTGACTAATTTCATTCTCAGCTTTAATATGATCCAACTAGACATGTGCTTGAATCAGGGGGCACATTTTGGGACCAGCTGGGTCTAATAAGAATGAGGGCTGCTCAGTACATAGGATTTAACCCAAGAACTCTGGGTCCAAAGTTCCCTTACCTGTTATCGTTCAGGACAGTTAAAAGCTGAATGTCACAGGACAAAGCTATCTCTACAATGGGTTGAATCAACAATGAGCCCAAGTGTTCATGAACTCTGAGGAAGTTTGGATTTAGGCTTAAACTTTGCAATTCCAATCCATTTCCACAATATGCTGTAACTTAGTCTCTCGCCTAGTGAATGCAACACAGATGCTCTTTGTTGTTTCTCTCTCTCTCTCTCTCCCTCTCCTTCTCTCACTCACTTTCCTGTCACTGTGGGATCCAAACACAATTCTAAGTAATAATTAAGAGGTTTCTTCTGTAAGGTAAAGAAGGGGCTGTCAATCATCCTACCAGTGATCCCAAAACTGGATCCGGTGACTAGCTGAGATACCAATCCAAAAAGCCCTTGCAGCTACATCCCACAATCCTTTGCTCTGAGATTAATACTTTACAAACACCTATGCATTTTCTACTTATACTGTGTTACTACTTCTACTTTTTCTACTTCTTACTAAGTTGCTCACTTTGATCTGCTGCAAACTAATGAACTCATCTCACAAAAGAACCATTAGACAATGGAATTGAAGAGCCAAAAATTATTTGTATAAACATTCCTGCAGTTCGCACTAGAAAGATGCAATTTCAAAAGAACACCAAAAACCAGGACTATATAGCACTTTAAAGACTAACAAGATGGTTTATTAGGTGATGAGCTTTCGTGGGCCAGACCCACTTCCTCAGATCAAATAGTGGAAGCTCATCACCTAATAAACCATCTTGTTAGTCTTTAAAGTGCTACATAGTCCTGGTGTTTGTTTCAGCTAGACCAGACTAACACGGCTACATTTCTAAAAGAACACCAGTATGTGTTCCACTAACTGGCATGTGCTAAACATTCCCTACTTCATAAATGTTACCATTCACCAGGAAACTTCCAGCCCTGGTCTATATTAGAGAGTGATTTTGAAATAACCTCACTTATTTCAAAATTGTAAGTGGTGTGTCCACACTACCAAGCTCATTATGTTGAAATAACGGGTTGGTTATTTTGAAATCTGTACTCCTGCTTTCCTTGGGGAATAACACTATTTCAATACTGTTATTTCGGGAGTTATTATTTCAAATTTAACTATTTTGAAATAATTTCCTAGTGTAGACATGCCCGCAATGGCCACCATCAGGGTTTGCATAGGCCACTTAGGGTACATCTACACAGCAGGGCTAAAGTCGAATTAAGCTACACAACTCCAGCTACGTCAATTGTGTAGCTTAAGTTGAAGTAGCTTAATTCAGCTTTTGGCACGGTCTATACAGCAGGAAGTCAAGGGAAGAACACTTGTCCTTTGACTTCCCTTGCTCCTCATGAAATGAGGGTTACAGGAGTCAGAGTCAGGAGTCAAGCACATTATATTATTTTGGAATAACATTAGTTATTCTGAAATAACACTGCTGTGTAGACGTACCCTTAGTGGGCAAAGCTTTGGTGCACATTAAAAATCATTTTCCTCTAGTGCATTTTGCCATACTGTATAGACAAAGTAGGTGCCTGGTCTACTACGTCTTGTAGCCTATGGAGTCTTGCTGTAGGCCCTAATAGGTGATAGATCATGTTCTGCATCCATCTGTGCAATGCTAAATTACATTCTCCGTTGTTTTGTGCAGCTCCCCTAGCTTTGCTATATGTAAAGCAGCACATTAGGATGCTCCCTGTGCTTTTGATGAAATATTTGCTATATTCAGCCCTCTGTTTCTGTATCTCCCTCTATCATGACTCTTTCCTCATCCTTTACAGTTGCTGGCTGTGATTGTCCCTGTACTCCTCCTGCTTTACATCTTGCTGTGTTATGAGAACTTCCATTTCCACGTGGCTCATATGTATGCTCATCTGGGATACCCCAATGCCCAGCACATTGTGGGGCAGAGATATCTGCAAGGTAATATTTCTCCAACTCAGTGGTAACTTGACTTCAGAATATATGTGTGTGCAAAGAGAGTACTTGTGAGAGTGTATATGTCACACATTCTGTTACCTTTGGGATAGATGTTGGCCCCTATACCATGCTTTTCAAATGAAATTCTCTTCATTTGTTTACTGTCTTTGTCTCACATCCAGGAGCTGGTGTTGAAAAGAATGAGGAGATGGCCATGCATTGGTTCAGGTGAGGTGGAGTCAGATTGCTGAAGTGGCAACTTCCCATGGTCCCCATGGTAAAGATCCACAGGTGTCTTTAGATTTCCTGTAAGAACAACTTAAGAACATAAGAATGGCCATATTGGGTCAGACTAAAGGTCCATCTAGCCCAGTATTCTCTGTTCCAACAATGGCCACTGCCAGGTGGCCCAGAGGGAGTGAACAGAACAAGTGATCATCAAGTGACCCTCTCCTGCCATCCTGACAAACAGAGGCTAGGGACACCATTCCTGCCCATCCTGGCTAATAAGTATTGATGGACCTAACTTCCATGAATTCACAACATCTCCTGGTATTCACAACATCTTCTGGCAAGGAGTTCCACAGGTTGACAATGCACTGCATGAAGAAAAATTTCCTTTTGTTTGTTTTAAATCTGCTACCTATTAATTTAATTTGGTGACCCCTAGTTCTTATGTTATAGGAACAAGTACATAATTTTTCCTTATTCATTTTCTCCACACGTCATGATTTTACAGACCTCTGTCATATTCCCCCCTATGTCTCCTCTTTTCTAAGCTGAAAAGTCCCAGTCTTTTTAACCTCTCTTTATATAGCACCCCTTTCCAAACCTCTAATCATTTGTGTTGCCCTTTTCTGAGCCTTTTCCAATGCCAATATTTCTTTTTTGAGATAAGGCAACCACATTTGCACACAGTATTCAAGATATAGGGTGTACCTTGGATTTATATAGAGACAATAAGATATTCCATGTGGCTATGTCTACACTGCACGCTTATTTCAAAATAGGCATTATTCCTCATAAAAGGAGGGTTACAGAATGCGAATAAGAAGCCAGTTATTTCAAAATTATTTTGAAATAACGGGCTTGCTGTACAGCTGCTCACTTTGTTATTTCTAAATAGCACTGCCATGTAGACATGCCCTGTCTTATTCTCTGCCCCTTTTTTAATGATTCTTAACATTCTGTTGGCTTTTTTTTTTGCTTGCTGCTGCTGCACATTGACTGTATGTTTTCAGAGAACTAGCCACAATGACTCCAAGATCGCTCACTTTAGTGGTTATAGCTAAATTAGTCCCCACCATTTTGTATGTATAGTTGGGATTATTTTTTCTAATGTGCATTACGTTATTCATTTGCCATTTTGTTGCACAATCACGTAGTTTTGTGAGCTCCTTTTGAAGCTCTTCACAGTCTGCTTTGGTCTTAATTATCTTGAGCAATTTAGTGTCATCTGCAAATTTTGCCACCTCACTGTTTACCTCTTTCTCCAGATCATTTATAAATAGGTTGAATAGGATTGGTTTCAGTACAGATCCTTAGGGGATACCACTTTTACCGCCACCTATAGGACTGGAGAAGGGAAGAAAAGCAAGCTGTATTTTTTCTGATAACTTGTTTCCAAACTGCTCTAATTTATCTGAGAAAAATATGGCCTAACCTAGACGCTGACTCCCTCTGTGGCTTTTGGCAAGATTTTTCACTTCTCTGTCTGATTTTCCCATCTGTTATTTCCATTAAAAAAACCCACAGGAGGTGTTCAAATGCTAAGGTGGTGGGGACCATATAAGTAGCTACAAAGAGAGATTCTAGAGGCCTCTGAGTGCTATGCCTGCTGTGATGGACAAAAAGAAAGCCTTCTGAGGGACACCAGAACAGCAGGTAGTGGAGTAAAAAATATACAGGCTCAGGAGCACTTAGGGACATCTCCACTGTTAATTTATTGCTCATGAAAGCTTTCTGCTGTGAGAATGAGGTAATTGTCCCGCTGCAAAAAATGTTTATGCCATGATCAGATGGTTTTAAAATGTTTCTGAGGAGACTTACATTAGAGCTGTCTCAAAAATAGGTTTTAAAACATTTTACTTTTAGCTCAGTTATTCTCTAACACAGACAGGACCCCAGAAATTGTAACACGGTTGGAAGAACAGCCAAATTAATGGAAAGTGAAACATCAACTTTAGGGACAGTTTTTACATCACAGGCTGGAATCACTGCTTCTTGCACTTGCAGGCAGAGATAAATAAGTCCATTGCAGCACTGACATCAGTGGTCTTTGAATCAAATCCATAGTTCCTACATATATCTGAAGGTGTTTATATAGTCGACAAATAGGCAGTGAACAGATTCATGCCTTCAGGAATGATAAGTAGTCTGTGGAGCTGTCTGTACTTCTGGGAACAATTACATGTATTTTTATTAGTGAAACACCATAACTAATCCAAAAGGACAAGTATCCGAGAGTTGCCATGTTAGTGTGTATCAGCAAAAATGATGAAGAGTCCTGTGGCACCTTAAAGACTAACAGTTTTATTAAGGTCAAAGCTTTAATGGACAAAAAAATCCCCACTTCCTCAGATGCATCTGACAAAGTGGGTTTTTGCCCACAAAAACTTATGCCCAAGTAAATCCTATTACTGGTAACAGTGGCTCTATTGTGGAAAAGAACTTGAACAGGTGCTTAAAGCCATCCCCAATGAGGAAAAGCACTGAAGATTGTGTTTTCCTGAACTGGTGTCTCACCATTTAAAAACGAATACCACTTGAGCATATGCATTTACTCATACTGTTCTTTTCTGGGTTAGTTCATTGACAGGCTTTTCTTTATTCCCCTTTGCACTTAACATTCCTTTTTCCTGTCTTTTAGGGAAGCTGCAGAGCAGGGTCATCCTCACTCCTCCTTTAATCTGGCTGTGGGAAAGCTGAAGAACATGACCATGTCACTTGAAAAAGGGTAACATTTTCCTTTTGCTGCAACCCAGTTCCTTCCTCAGAGGATGCCCCTATATCACTATCAATAGGAGAAGACACCAGAAGAACCTACACTAACATGCCACTCCTCCAGTAAGAGCAAAGTTCAGAGTTAGTGTAGACCTGCTGCCTTTTAAACACCAGGATTAGATGATATGGCAGTTAAAATGCTAGTAGTTTGTCTCCATTAGCACTGCCATCAGTAGAACTGTGCTGATGATGGCACTATAGCGAGGAAAAGGTAAGAAGAATACTAGCATAGACGAGGCCAAGATAGAATTGTCCTTCTGGGGTTAAAGCACTGTCTTCGGGCCTGATCCAAACCCCATGGAAGTCAATAGAAAAACTGACATCACTGAGCTTTGGATGAAGCCCTTTGAGAAAATGTGGATACAGTGAGCTGCTCCTGCTTCTCTCTATGTTGTGTTTGGGAGCACTTAAGCTGCACAAAATGTTCAGCGTGAGATCAGAAATCCAGAGAACTCTTGCCTGACTTGGTGTTTTAGACATGCACTGTGTATGAATCTGAGTTCAGTTTTGATTGACTCTAGTGTAACTGAAGGTTTCACATCTAAGTCAACTAGTGAGTTTCACAGCGGATTTGACTGGTTTTTTGTTTCTTGCTTTTGGAGTTTTTTGATTCTTTCAAACCTGAAACTCAAAATAAAGTGTTTTGAGTTCAAACTCCAGCAACCTGAAACCGGGGGGGGGGGGGGGGGGG